ATCAGCAATCTGTTTCTGACTACTAAATCTTGTCATGTGAATTAACTCATCTATGTCATTGTTCCCACTGCTTATAAGTGATGCATCAATAGTAATAAGTGTTGTCCTTTTGCATTTTCTACATTGAGATTGTTCTGTAATTCCAAAAATTATATTTGTCGTTAAACAATATTTACATCCATAATATGTTATGGAGCAAGATTCACACCATTTGAGACAATCAGTTTCAGCTTTTAGATTTTTTTTCGATTTACAATTTATACAATTGCTTTTTTGATCCCACCATGGTAAATATAGAATTGGAACAAGGTTTTTAGTATAAATTGATCGTACCCATCCAGAAGAAATTTTATAACAATCTGAACATATCATATAGTTAATAAAACCATTGTCAGGTATTTTATGATAAACTAACTTTCCACATAATTTACAATCCTTGTTTCTTGAATGTATATAACCTTGACTTAATTGATATACTTGTTTGAAATAATAAATATCGGAGCAATTTTCACACCATTCATGAATGTTTTGTGTGCAAAAACCTATATTCCTAGCTTCATGTTTATTACAACTATAATCATTTGTAACTATAAGTACATCTAAATACGTATTATTTTTATCAATACAACCAATATACTTGGTTAAGCAATGTTTACAATATTTTTGACTCATTGTATAGGAGTATCCATTTCCGCAATGACAATCAACATCATTTTTTACAAATGGAATAAACGTAATTGGTACAGGACTGGATTTTAATTTTGGTGTTGGATCTAAAAAGCTTTCATCATTTTTAATCGTATGTTCCATTTTGAATTTTTGAATTTGAAAAAATTCACGACATTAAGGGTTTATTTAATGGTTAAAGTTGGAAAATTCTAGAATTATATTTAATTCGATTATGATTTTTCTTTGTTTCAAGAACAATATTAATGCAGTAGTTAATGTACTGTCATGTACAAAAATCAACAATGATAAAGTACAATATCTATTGTCGATCATTTTGAACACAAAAAAATTAATTTTAATAAGTAAATTTGTTTCGACTACACTACATATATAAAACACCGAAAATTAAAACATAAACTTTTTTTTTAAAGAGTAAACTTAATAAAGTAAATCCATAATAAATCGATTACTTCTTTTTATTTATTTTTAGATTGAAAAATGTTGATTAATTAAAAGTTTCCGAATTAATCATTAATAATACAAATACAAATACAGAGTCGTTGAGCAAATCATTTAAAATTCACTTCAAGCAACTTATGAATGACAATTAAAATGAAATAATTACTTCAGATCTTTACTAGTTTTTGTTTCGGTGTTCGATTTGCAAATTTGAAGTTTAAATTCTCGCATGATTGTAATTCACATACCACGTATAAAAAAAAATTATCTACCGTAGATTGTATCATGATAATGATGAGCGATTACACAATTAACAAGTTTACAGCACATGATTAATTCGACATTAAAATAATCTGTAAAAATTAATACAATATATATTTTTCTACATTTTTAATCAATTCAAGGCATGTGTGCTATCCATTAACAGTTAAACATGTTTGTTCTATTACCAACAAAAAAAAAATTTCATGTGGTTATCTTCACGTATAAGAATGCACTCATAAATGAAATTTGAAGCTTTATGTTATTAATGATAATGAGCTGTCTTAATGCTCGTCATCCTAAAAAATTTTCGAATTTCGTTCGTCCAATTTGTATTAAGATTTCAAATTTTGAATCTAGAATAAGCTCTAATAAACAAATTGTAATGAGGTCAAATTATCATATGGGAGCGTTTCCAGTAAAAACACATATGATTTACTATATCTCGACTTGATTTTACCGGAAACATTCCCATGTGCGTTAATACAAATTAACTCTGTTAAACCGTCATCATATACATAATTATGTTTTCCTTTTTGTTGACGCTTTTGAAATAACGTCTTTTAATCATTCGCAAGATACCGCTAATGATTATGAAAGTTTCTTGGGACTGGAAGAGATCACGTCGTGATCATTTATGCAGACAAAAATAAAACGGTTGAAGAAATGACACATTCAAATATTCTTTTCTTCCGGTCACAATATTTCATGTGACGCTATTACATAAAATGAATGGAAAAGTGATTTTAAAGGAACCAAAAATTATATTAAGGTACTGCAAATTTTTAATGGTAAATGATGATTAATTTAGAGGTTGACCATATCTCGAATTTTTTTAATGCAAATTAGAATATTTATGTCGGAAAGATCGATTTTATAAGATTGGAAGGTCTTGAAGTATTGAACCTTTGGAAACTCTTAGAAGAACTTGATATCCAAACCTTGTTACCTTGCCTTCAAGGATATTTAATTTCAAAATCCTATAGGAATTATTGAAATAACTAAACTACATAAACCATTTACAGATTTGTGTAATATATTGGACTAAAGGCACTTATAATGGAAGAAAGGTAACCTTTACATGGAAGAGGTCGTAATATGTGATATAATGATTGGTTCGTGTATTGCATAACATCCCTATATTACTAATGATCTGTTGAATGATTTTTTTTAAAGTTTTCCTTAAAGAAAGTTGTTATATACACATTTAATTTAAGAAATTTTTAGAATTCAGAAGCAAAAGTAGATAATGATATACGAACATCTAGAATTAATTATTGATTCTTGCCATTTGCCATTGGATTGAGAAAAGTAAAATATGAAATTATGAATGACCCTTATAAATTCTGCTTACTCTACTGTATATTACCAATAAGGATGTGATCTGAAATTAAATATTTTCATGAAAAATGCGATAACAAAGGGATGAATCAAGCATTCAGAACATTTGGAAGGTTTAATTCATTTGGCGGACTTCAAGTTCTTATAGAGTAGTGGCAAAATATAATTATATTTGTAAACTGGAAAGACCCTCAAATTTCAAATGTCAATGATGAATAGTTTCTCATGTATTTCGGTAGTAAAAACAACTAATGAAGATATGAAAACATTTCTTCGAAAGTATGTTGATTTATTATAAAAATGAAATTTATTCACGAATATTATTTAATTTTGATGAAGTTATAGATTTAAACCATGAAAGTGATTGATTAAAGTGTTCAAATTATTAACTAGTATTATTAAACAGAAAAAAATTAATTCGTATGTTAATAAAGTTATAAAATATGTTAATTATAAATATAGTAAAATAAGAAAAATTAAAAATCGATTAAATTTTTGATAAAATAATAACAACTTATTCTTGATAAATAATTATAATAATATAGCCAACTCAACTAGAAAAGTTCTTTTTTTATTATTAATGCAAATAAAATTTAAAGCTTTTTTAGTAATTTTCTCTTTAAAATTAATTAAGGCTAATAAAGTTATTCTTGGGTTTGGATCAATAGACCGAAACTCAATTTGCCGACGATCATACACATGACCGACAATCATATGGTCGATAATCATTTTGCCGACAGGTACGTTCGGCCTACAAATTTTTTTATATTTTTTACTGTAATATAAAATAACTAAATTCAATTGAAAAATTAATATCTTTTATTATCATTATATGCAAACAAAGCAATCAAAACAATTTCAAATAATTCATAATATAACAAATAATTAAATTGTAAACTATTTAAAATGAAATATTGTGTGCAAACCCCTGAGAAAGTCCATCATTTGCCTATTTTCCCGATCATTATATATTCTTTGGATTCGGGATTCATGTTCCCGATCCTTCTTTTTTGGTAAACATAGTAAATCATATGATCTGTACCTCAATTTTAATCCACCCATAGTGCTTGCTCCTAATATTTGTCGGTAACATGCTTGTCGGCCAAACGTATCAAATGATTATCGACCATATGATTGTCGGTCATGTGTACTTGTCTGCCGAGTGATTGTCGATCAAATGATCGTCGGCAAATTGAGTTTCGGTCTATTGATCGGGTCCGTTATTCTTATACACTATACTATATAGGATATATTTATTCATGCCATGTAATTTATTTTAGAATTTTTAATAAAAAAAAAATAAAAAATGATGATTAAGTAAATTACAAAATAATTTATTGTATATTTTTTATTTTTGGTATTACAATTCAACAATAATCCCTATTTGTAATAACAAAAAATAAGTTACAATTTTTATATTACTATTCAATGTTATTAAGTTGTAAGGTCATCAGATGGTCGTTTGCTATTAAAATAAAATCGAGTTACGAGACATAATAAATCATGAGATTCGTAACATGATTTTAATAGCAAACCCAGATGGTCAGTAATAGAAATACAAAATTGACAAGTTTCAATTGTTACATTAATTATGAGTGTTGCTGAAACTACTTGCAAGAAAAATCGTATCGTTCTTTGTAAAGTAAACTCTGAAATAAGTAGTTATATATTCTGATTCTTTACAACATCCTTTTTTATCATTACTTTGTACCAGCCTCAACGATAATATTCACTGGCTCCTCAGTACCAATACTAAATATTAAGAAAATCATCTCAGATATTAATTTACAAGGAAGTATAAAAAACCTATCACTTACTTTTCCGATAAATTTATCTTGCACTGAAACTTCCCAAGGGAGGTGGCTTTTATTTCTCAAGCTGTCTTCCAGGAATGGCATTACGAAAAAAACTTCCTTCAATAGTTATCTCTGGAGCAGAGTGACTATATTAATAATAAACATTTGATTATAATGCAATACCAAGAAATTGAATATGTATTTAAGTAACAATTCATGATATGTACTAGTTTAATAAAATCAGCAATATAAACTTGGATGGTATGGTAGGGTATGTTTATAGGTTGCGACGACTTAATGTTAACCGGTTAAAATAGTTAATTTTAACTCCGGCAAAAACTTTAATTTCGGGTGAGTTTAATTTAACCGATTAATTAACTGGTTAAAGAATTTTTAACCCGGTTATTAACCAGTAAGGATTTTGGGCCGTTTCCAACCTCTCATAATTTGGGGTTTATAGGCCGCATATTCTCCATTTATTTCATATCCTTAACGGCCAATTAAATAAAATATTAATAAATAAACGTTATGAACCTGTTTTGAAATGTATTACGCAGCAAAAAACTTAATGTCCAAATGGCACTATCTTTCATTCAGTTGTAAAACATGCTCGACTCTAGATAAGAATTAAAATGTAAGTGTCCGAAACTGAAAAAAAGCCATTAGTCAGATTTGTATATGACACACGTATTAAATAGAAATATTACATATTTTACCTGTTACAAGGTTTTTAATAATATGGGATCTTTGCGATATAAAAGGGGAAACAGCAGGGAAAAATAAATTTTACTTTTTAATGCCAAAAATGATTTTTAGGCTAAAATATGTTCAAATTTAGCATTAACTCATTTTTATTTTCCCCCTTTCTATTGCAAAGGTCCTTTATGAACAAATGCAATTGGTGTGATTGTTCGCAGCCACTTCTTAAGTCTTTTGGTTCTAATAGGTTCAGCGAGAATTATCGAATTTTCTCCTTACTACAACACTTCATCTATTTTTATACTTGGGAACTTCTATAATTTTTAGAAGTAGAAAAAAATATTAAGTTGTTCAATATTGCTTCCTTGAGAGGTTATAAACTTTCTCAAAGGAAAGGGAAGGGTAAAAAAAAAATCCTCCTCCTCGAAAGAAAGGTGAAAAAATAATCGTGAAAAAATCTTCCTCAACAATATGATATGCTTTATTAACGACTAAATTTCTTGGGTTTACATATTAAAGTGAGTTAGGATTGAAGAGCAAAAAATGAAAAAAAATTTTTAGGGGAGACTAACCTTTATTTATTAGCAAATCTTTATTACCGAAGTATCGCATTACGTCATGAGTTGGTGGCTTTCAAAACGAACGCTTTACGTCACGCGTTTGGTGGCTTATTAACCAGTAAAAAAGTTTATCACATGAATTAACTTTCAGAGGCTTGTGATTGATAATTAGACAATGTTAAATAAAAATAACATTCACAAAACAAAATTATTTTATTCCCTTTTCGGCTGGAATTATAGGATATTGTTTAAAATTTTCATTTTGTATTAAATACATTTTAACAACTAACGTAATGAACTTTTTAAGTGGTATCTCGAAAGAAAAAAATTCAGAGATTCGTTCCTTTAAATAATAGAATGGAAAACAATGAAGTTTAATAATTATTATAAAGTATTTACACGATTTTCAACATTGTGATTAGTAATAAATGACGTTTACATAAATAGGTAGAAATCTGCAAAAACTTGATTAAAAACCACATTCTAAAATCAAAGAAATGATTATACTAAAAATTCTCACGAGTAATTTGACAAATTTTTATTAAATAAGATTTCCAGGTTATGTTACTGATTTCTTTCGGGACGATTAAACCTCGTTATTGTTCAGTTAGATTCCTGCGATGTATACACCATTTGTAACCTGATGAGATTACCTTGATCATTGTCAGGTAGTAAAGGCTTACAAAAGGTTTCGGTTGTTGTAATGATTGGGCTTTAATTTTATAGGTGCAAAAGATATAAATACGAGAATCATCATAATTAATGGGAAATTTTCATTCAACAATTAGCTACATCAAGTTCCCTTTGGTAAGTATTATTTTTTTTTTTTGTGAACGTTTTATCTATTTCCAATCCTTTCAAACGAAAACCAATTTGCAGATTATTATGTTTCACTCCTTCCGGATGGTTTCGTTCAGTGATATTCCTTCCAAAATCTGACACGCCATTTGTATCTGATGAGACTATTCTTAATTACTCTTGGTCAATGCCAGGAGTAAACGCTTACATATGGTTTCAGCTGTAGTAATGCTTGGGGCTTAATTTTATAGGGCAAAAAAAATTTTATAATATGCACACCATTACGATTTTCATTATATAAAGTCACGTGAAAAAAATTTACTATAAAAATAAAATCCATGAATTTTTGTAAAAAATTGAGGCGGCCGGGTTACGAGAATCTAAAAATTTTTTTTTGCCCGGCCTAATATTCAATTACCTTATGTACATATATATCAAGTTTTGTACGGTAGGTAAGTTGAAATCTTTAGAAAAAGTGTGCCGAGTCTTCATTTTGTCAATTTATAATTGGATTTTTTATTTTAACTAATTATATTCTAGGTAGTCCTTTTTTAAAATTTACCGATTGCATATATTGATTAATTGACATTTGATCATAAATTTCCTTTTATAATAACATTAAAAAATTGTCATTTTTTAATCAAATAAAAAATTATTTTGGCAATCCCGATGATAATTCTTTTTTAATTAGTTAACTGTGGTATAATTTCCTTCCTTGAGATTATCAATCAAATGCCAGAAATGACAGAATTCGATTGTCAAACGGCGCAGCGATTGTTTCGAATGCAAGAGTGACATCTTCAATATTGAGGTTAATTACTATGTATAAACGATCGCAAAACTATACAATTGAAATATAGAATAGAAGTCAATAAGCTACCTAGTGCTCCGAAATGTCCGGATTATTGACCCGACTCAAATTTAGATGATTTAACCGACGACAGAATATAATTTACTGAGAATATATAGATTATATGCAGATTTAATATGTAAAAATTAACCCGTCGAGTCGTATGTATCGAGGAACGGATAACGACTTATGCATTTATTCAGGTATCAATCCGACCCTTTCGGATCTCATAACATAACACGACTAATTGCAACAATACAATTAGGTTACGGTTATGAGACATAGTAAATCATATGATCCGAACATGATTTTTATGAATTTTAATAGCAAACTCCCATATGACCTTAATTAGCATTAAATTGTTGCATAACTAATCGCTTATAAACTTATTGCGCAGTATTGTCACAGGACAAATATTGATGATAGAACGTGACATTTTCAAAAATTCATGGGAATAGAAGATTCCGAGATTCCAGAATCACATCTAAAAGATGCGATAATATTAGATTGACTCATGTTATTTTATTGATAATCAATTTGAAATATCATTTAATTATTTGAAATATTTCAAAACTTTCTACAATAAACCTATGTCGAAAGCCTACGTCAGCATAATCATACCCATCATCATCATCATCATCATCATCATCATCATCATCATAATCAAAATCATCCTCATCATACTCATCATCTTCATCTTTGTTATAATGCCAAATATTACTATTCGGACAATATAAATTGCCCATACTGGGTCCTTGGTTATCATAACAAATTAAGGCAAAATTTTCATTGATAACATAACCCACTTTTGCAGTTGAAATTTTTTTTCCATCCGTAAAATTAAATAAAAAGCTTACTTTTGAAACTTTAATACGATTTCCATTCCAATCAAGTGGATTATACCCTCCTATTAGTTGTGCTGATCCTTGAATTTTGGCTATCCAAATGGTAGCTCCTTTGCCATCACAATTTCTATGAAAATCTTTAGAATTAAATGCGTTCTGACCTGATCGATATAATAGCCTAAATTTATAAGGAATCTTTTTTTTGTTGTAGTGTGAAGAAGCCTTTTTGTCGATCCATGAAGCAAAAAGAGAAATGTGTTTTGAATTAATTAAAGTTGAATCTATATTTGGCTTTCTTGAAGGTGCCATTTTAACTTTAGGCTTGATATTAGGAACCATATGAAACTCTAAAAGACTATAAACTAAATCTTGTGGTAATACTTCTCTATAACAATAAACTTTGTAAAAGTAATCTGTAGAATTGATATCATAAAATCTAATTAAAGGAATAAATCGGTGCAATGACATCTCCATTTTGGTAATATCTTCTTTACTCCAGGATGTTGGATCATTATTCACATTTTGTTGGATAAGACACCATTTTAATAAATGATTCCAAGCTTCAATTTCTTTCATATTTAAATCATTTCGTTTTAGCAATAATTCCAATAAAGGCGCCTTTAAACAGAAAATTTTATCGGAATTAAATAAATCTTCGGGTTCTTGACATATCTTTTCAATGCAAATATTCAATAAATCCGTAAATCTCTCGTGTTGATAAATGGTTTCAAGAATTTCAACTGGATTTTGATGTAAAAATTCCTTTTGATGTTTAATCAAAAATTCTTGAATATGAGAATCTAATGGTTGGATATCAAGTTCATCCACTGCTATTAACAATTTCAATACATCAGGGACTTGTAAATTCTTCAATTCAATATTTCCACAATAAATAAACCTAAAAATTAAAAAAATGAATTAATTAAAACCGAATTTAAAGATAATATATTTTTTTTTATTTATTTACCTAAGTATAATATTGAATAAATGTGGTGAAATATTAGGTTTTTTTAAAATAAATTTATCATTTTCCTTCTTAGCCCATTCCTTAGAAAATGCTGTACGAAAATATTGTGATCTAATACATAAAATATTTGAATGTCCATGAATTTCTTCAACATTTGGTTCTTTTCCGGCATAAATAATCACATCATATCCTAATTTTGTTTCAAATAGTTTTTCATAATCATTGGATAAATCTTTCCAAAAGTTTGAAGACATGGTTAAAATTAAAGAAGAAAAAAAAATTAATAATAATAATGGCGGCGCGTCAAACATATTAATTGCTAATGATCTGCGTAAGACGTCATAGGAAGACTTTCATGTGATTGGCTGATACGGTTACACGAA